TATTATTAATGATCCACTTCATTCCAACAATTACATATTCATCTGGTTGTAAATTACAAAACAACCTTGTTGCTTTTTGTGTAATCTCTGCAGGCCGAATGCTTGTAGTCTAGCAGGGTTCAAATAGTTGATCTGTCTTTTTCTGACAGCAGAACATGAATGACAATTTATTTTGGCTAAAACAAGCAATTTTGGCTAAATTTATATTCTTCATGGGGTATCTGCCATCACAAACAAGAAGGGGATGTAGTTATAAGTATCAGTACATTCTAGTCAAAAGTAGAATATATTAAATCAAAATTTACAGTAGGCTAAAAGGTGGCTGCTAAGCCTTCCTATTAAATCTTCATAATAAGGTGGTGACAAGTTAGAACTCTTATAAAGAGCTTTATTAAAAAGGGGACAACCACCAGGATAAAATAATATTGAGAAATAAAATTTACCTTGGATTAGTTTCATGTAAACATAAAAAAAAATCAACTTCTGAGAACTCACATGAAAAACATAATGTAGTTAATATTAAATACAACGATTATGCAACCTTTTACTTTTACAGTTTGTGTTCTTTTGTCCTTGATTTCAGCCCTGTTTTGCTTATGATTAATGAATGACTCGCCTTCAGTACTCTTTCATTTATTTCATACCTCATTATGAATTGGGAAGGGCCATTTGTTATTTGAAAATAGCGAAGAGAACATGCATACAAGTTGGACTGTGTTCATAAACACAAATGACATTTTTATAAATAAATTACTATTGCCCAGTAATATATCTTATTAATAGTTTATATGTTGCAACTGCTTCTGATAAAATTCTAAGAAACTTGGTTAAGCAATGTATGTGACATGATTCTTACTCTCATAGAGTACCAGGTGATAATTTGGGCATATGTTCTGTATGAACATCGTGAGTGTCTATGCACTGCCCAATCATTCTCACACAAAAATACTAAATGACACCTGATATATTTAACTGCTTTCTGATTTTAACTTTTCAAAAGCCTACAAAACAATATCCTATGCCTTCTCTTGTATTCTTTTTTGGAATTACTTTAGCAGAGTTTGATGCTTCATGATGTTATGCTATTATACTGTTAACATCCAGGTAAGGAAAACACCTTGGCTAGAAGAGATAAGAGAATTTTTATGTATATTAAGTCACAATTGTTAAAACAAAGACGATACATTCTTTGCATTAACAACAAAGATTCAAACTACAGTTCATAGTAACTCATTCTTTCTATTATATCCTTTTTATTTTTGATAGTTACTTTTAACTACAGCATTTGGTAGTTGCAAAGCATATATTTGAGCAGAAAGATTTGGCCTGGGTGACACCTATCCTTAATAAGATTCTGGGGAGCTGTCAAAGGAATAAATCAAAAAGTCCGTATTTTCTCTTAGTTTAGTAGAAGCAAATCCTTAAATCACTTGGGAATTAAGACAAGAGGCATCAACCATATGAAAATATCTGAGATAAATTGATACACTGATAGTTATGGTGGGCTACAATATCATTTGTGCAGATATGCCCAGGCTGATTCAGGACTGACTGATCTGGTGATTTATGGCAGTGTGGCTGGAGCCCTTCACCTCCAGAAGACAGCACAGGTGCTCTTCTACTGTAGGCAGCAGTATCTGCCCTGAATATTTTTGCCCCATCGTATTTGCAGCTGGATCATAACCGTGAGCTTTATTCAGGTGGATGCAGAAGCTATCTTTGGCTGAAAGTAAAACAGAGTCCATTGACTTTATAAACAGAAATGTAAAAATCAACCCTAACCAATTGCATACTATTTCCCCCCTGCACAGTATGCATGGCTCTGTGTGGTGCCAAGTTCAACTGCTTAAATGTTGTGTCATCACTAAAAATAATATAACTCTGAGCATGGTTAGTAACTGCAGGCTGACCTTCAGCCTTGGCTTTGCTTAATATTGCGGCTTTATGTTTTCCCCTAATTTGTTCAGAACTCTTTGTACCATGGATTATTAATCTATAACTAAACATTGTCCTTGGTGTTCATCTAGCTGACGATATTTGGAACCAAAGCAAAACTATTATCTTTTCTTTGAATTTTGTAAGCACATTCATTCCAGCCCTTCATTCAGCTTCCTCTTCCCACAAATTTCAGTGCAAACTGTACAAGAAAGTTACTATTTACTTAGGATTATTGCTTAAAATCACATCACAAAAGCATGTTTGATGCACTTCAAAATTCTGTGAAAGGGACCTCCTTAATCCCAAATCCCTCCAATCCCCAAACTGTCCCCTATATTACTGCTAAGCAGTATAATAATTTTCAGTGTGAATAAAGAAGGTAAATCTTAACAAACGTTACTACGTAATATTAAATGATAAAGCTGGCATCCAGTTAGGAATCGTGTTTTACCAGTGGGAGAAAAAAAAAATTCCTGATGCTGTAAGGAAAGCCTCCCACAACCAGCACAAATCTTTTGAAACCAGAGCCCATGGCCATGGAAGAGCAGAAGCATGCGAACATGCAATGATGATTTACCTCTAAGGATTTCAGTTTTTGTAAGTGACTTCCTATTTAAGCAACGGGATAAGCTATTATCCTTATTTAGTAGGATGAGAATTTACTGCATAAGATGAATGCTTAAAGAGAACTATAGACAACCTTAAACTTGTAGGCATTGCTTCTGTTACTTAGAGAAATGCAACTATTTTAAAATACCATTTATTCCTCATTCAGAATAGAAATGCCAGGAAAGATTTTTCAGAAACTGCCCAGTCTTTATTTTGACACAAAGCACTCCAGATGGCTTAATTGGATGTCTTTGCTAGCATTTTTATACAAATTTGAAACTGGAACCTAGGGTAACTCATTAGCCTAGCATTTCTAGACAGAATTGTGAGTTAGCCCTTCTCCCTCAAATCCATGAAAAGACTGAGCAAATAGGAGCAGTATTTTTCTGCTGTTTGCAAATCCCCAGAGAATGAAAACAAGTCTCCTCAGACTATCAAGAGCACTACATGTTTTTGCTTTACTGTTAACATAACAAATATAATTTTCCCAAAGCACTCTTAAAAAAAATCTCCCTCTTACCTCTGTAGAAAAACAATGTGTATATAAACATAGCGAGAAGGGATGACCTCTTCTTCCAAGTGATAAAATCATACAGTAGCAATATTATGACCCTCAAATATTGGGATATTTCTTCTAAATTGTATTTCTGCGCTTACTATGGTCCCGCAAAACAGATGGTATAAAGAAAATAGCCATTTAAAAAACTGAAACCACTTATCAGCATCTGGAAACATGAAGTGCAAAGCTAAGGCTGAAAGAATCTTAACTCTCTCTTTGCCTTTCCTTCCTTCACTTCCATCACGGACACTTATTTTCATGTGTGCAGATAACTTGCCAGAAAACCTCTGAGGGAATCACAGTCATCGCTTGCAGCCTCTTGTTCAGAGGAACAAGAACACTAGCTTTTGTTATGCAAAGCTCTGAACCTGTCTGTCTGTTAGGCACAGCTTTGCATTGCAGGCTGCTGCTTATTAACACCCTCCCAGGGCACCCACAGAGTCAGGGCTGCCCAAGCAGAACATACATTTATAAAAGACTCAACAAGGTCAAAATAGTCATAAACATCATACTTGTTAACTGCAAAAATGACAGAGGAGGAGATTCCTCCCTAAAGTGGTAGTGGGGCAAACTCACCAGTGGTGTGACTCCAAGCCCAAATATCAATTTGAATGCGCAAATGATATCTTTGGCACTCCCCATTGGCAGACATGTGCAAAACCATGGGAGCTTAGGCTACTGTACATATGATTAGATTCAATTTCATTACTTTTTAGACACTAGCTTACTTCAGGTTAGTGTTACCACTTTGGGTATTCATAAAGGATGTCTCGGAGAAGGCAATGCACTTGAATGTTCGGCACGTTTTAGGGATAGGTCTGAACGCATTATGCAGATTTTGTGCAAAGGAAAGGACGAGGGGACTGGCAGCGAAGAACTCAGAGCTGGAGCAAATGTGACGGTAAAACAAACTTGAAATAGCAAACCATCTGCTTTCTAATGGAAACAGCTCTACTTGTCAGCAACATCTAGAAAAAATGATTTCTTAGTTGGAGTGTGTAACCAAGGGAAGTAGCTTTTTTGCTATATGAGGTAATACACTCAAATGATGTATGACTTAGATAATAGTGTGGGTTAATGATCTTCAGCTGGATCAGGGAGTAAAACAAAGTAATTTCATAATACAGAACATGATGGATTAAATCATGTTAATACTGGGTATATACATTAAAGAAAATGATCTTTCTGGCATACTAAATGGCAAAATAAAAAGCACTTTTAGTAAGTTATATGATTAATTAGTCTGCCCTTTTATTTATGTACCATGATAAAGTAAAATGTACTACTTCTGGTTACCTCCCAGGCAATTATTCTAAAAGTTATATTGAATGCACCAGCTTCATTGTATTGCACCAGTCCATCAGGAACAACAAAGTATGTCCCTGTCACTGTTTTAAACCAGAGATTTTCTTTTTTTCTCTTCCTTCCTTATCCCCTTTGCTAGAGGTTTGTTGGTTTCTTGTCCATATATTTTTCAAATCAGGCAAAGATGAGTTAGAATACAATATGTAACAATCAGGCAAACAAACTCTTTTGTGTAGAGATTCACTAACCGGAGGGAACGCAAAAAAACGGAATCAGAGCTTTGCCATTTCCTGCCTATATGATTAACTGGATATTCTATAAATTTTCACTACATTTTCAGGAAATCAGCCTCATACAAAACCAAAGGAAAACAAGCTGGAGATGGATTTTCAAAGGAAGAAAATTCCAAATGAAAGTAAATATCTCAAATTTCAGAAATAATGGTAGGTTTAGAAGGGCAAATACTATTTTTGAAAAGACACTTTTGTCCCACCCAGAAACCGTAACAAGGAGGTAAGGCCAGAAGCTTCCTGCAGTACCAGATTTAACTGGAAGGAAAAAAAATACATAACACTAGCACTGAATGTACCTGGAAGTGTTGCAGTGACAATTCTTAAGCATATACTTCCCAGTAGGACGTTGTCTTCTAAATCTCATTACAGATGTTCTTTGGGATGGAGGTTCCAATTTTTCTCTTTTAGTAATGTCTTATGAGGCTGCAGAAATTAATAAAATACAAAAGATAAGTAATTTTTTTTTTCATCTTGACAATATGGACAATCTGGAAAAAAACCCAGAGATATGGGCAAGCAAGATATGGGCAGCCCTAAAATGCTAAATTCAAAATTCAAAGGTAAGTGTCTTTGACAGAAATAAAGTTGTGTCACAGGTCACTGGACTCAGGACTTTCATGGACTTATCCTAAGACATGCATGGAGAAGCAAGTCATGATTTTAGAACACTAGGCTGAAGGAAATGACTTTTTTCTTTTTTTTTCTTTTTTTTTTAGTAAAGAAAAGAACTATCTAAGAAACTTTGTTTCCACTTTGTTTGTTTGTTTTCTTTTAGCTAGTGCCAGAAATCTTGCTGCTACAGCAAGTACTAAGTACTTTAAGTTTCCACACAGAATTTAAATCACAGAAAGTGCTTTAAATTTCCACACGAGTTAGAATCCCCGTGTTCTAACGTTCGAATCCTGGTTTCTCGCACACAGAGTCCACCCACTGGTACCGAGTCAGTCTTTGCTGATTAATGTTTTGTTTGCAACATCACTAATGCTTTTTTCCCCACCCTGGGGTTTTACCTTCTCCACATGATGTGAAGCACGTCTCCACTGAAAATAAATTAGACCACAGCAAATATAAAATCCATATATCTTCAGCATTTGTTTCGTTGGGGCTTTTTTGAGCTTATCTGCTAGTGGAGGCAATGCTCTGTCATCAAGCTGTATAATGGCACTTTCCATATCATTCCATCTTAGCATGTATGAGTACACTTTGGGCTTCCATCCCCTCTGTATTGCTGGCCCTAAATTTAAATCTCATTAACATTCACAGGAGTGCTCTGTGCAGTTTGCTGGCATCTCAATTTGCTGCTAGTATAGAGAGGCCCACAAACTTTCCTCTTGTCAAAGAAATCTTGTCAATATCCTTATTTTTTTAAAAAAAAATCAACACTGCCAAATTTATTCTGGACCTCTTTAGTTAGTATTTATTATGCTGCTCTTCATTTCAAGGGAAATGTTAAAGGCATTAGTCAAAAAGACGTTCACCTGCTCTGTAGCAATATCACATCTGTGCTACCTTTTGAAAGGTAAATACTAGCTTTGATATACCAATTTATTTCAATAAAACCTGTAGCTGCTAAAAATTTTTATATATACTTTTAAGAAACTTCTGAGCATAGAAATACAGAATACATATAGAAATTCATAATTATAAAAGATCAATTATCTATATTCAATGCATAAATAAACCGTAAACCAGAATTTTTCAAACATGTTAATTATTAATTGGTGGTGAAGCTGCTGTGAGAATATAGCAAATGGGTGAAATGTGTCCTAGGAAAACAGTGTAGAAGTGCAGCTGCTCCAAAGTGCTGGTCTAAAATAACATTCAATTATTGTTACATTTTAAACCTCGTAGGATATAACACCATGTAGAAGTGTGATTTTAAAATTGGTGTTTTTAAGCGCCTGTGATGTAGGTGAGGGTTTTTAGCAAACAGCGGGTATGAACCTAAAATTACATTAATCTATTTGCTGCAACAAAATTAAGTTGATTGGTTATTGTTCAAATTAATTTGTTAAACAAAGGAGCAGTTTTTGTACAACAACAAAAAACATCTGAGAGAAGAACAGTGTTGGTGCTCTTGTACTCCATTACTTTTCACAAGACTCACTAGAAATGCAAGATATGTATAAAGAGTAATTTTGTCTCATTAAACGACAACCCTAGTGGTTCCTCTTCATCTCCTTAATTCATTTCTTATAGTTTTTCTTGTCACATCCACTTGTTTTATGGCTTACTAACTTGCAAGTTATGGTCGTAATTTATGGTCAAAATTGAGTGGTAGCAAATCACAGAATATTTTCATTGATTACCCTAAATTGTCTAATCTCCTGTATGTTTTTAGGAGTTGATTGGGTGGTATTTACTGATTGCCTTCATCTAATTTAAAAATCAATCAATAGCAACAATGAGAGGTGGTGGATAAATCGAGTCTAATGCAGCATAACTGCAGCAAATATCCATCAAAGGCTCATTCTCAATCAAATTTGTGGGAAGTTTTAATACATAAACCAAAATGTCTAAAAGCCTTACTTCTACAGCACATCATTTTAAAACTGTGCTCTGCAATGTGACATCTTATTGCTCTTATGCTGTCTATTTAGGGTGATTTTCCACTGCTAAAATGAACATATTTCAGTACAATAAAACTGCAGCAAACAAGAAAAAAATGTGATCATCTTTGGTTTAAAAGCACTTTGTTCAATCTTCCTCCATATTATCTTTGTATAATAATAAGAATTAACATAAAATCAGCTTTTCTTATAAACTGTGTGCATTTTCCAAAAGATAAACATTCTAATAAGTGTCTTGATGGGAAATGTATTTTCTAATTTGAGAAATCAATTCATTAAAATTATTCCTTATGTTTTTCTTTTTTAAGCATCATTTGTTTCCTGAAGTTTTGGAGAGCAAATATGAAAGACACCATCTGGAAGTCAGTATTTTAATTTCTAGACAATATCTGGACAAAAACATAGTATGCAGGAAAAAAAAAGGCAGAAAGCAAAGGCAAAGCTTCTTTCTCAAGTGATGGCAACACAAACTTAAAATGTATCTTTCTTAACTGACATAAGACACAAAACACCATTTTCAATTCTGGGTTGTGCCTAGATCTTAAAATTACATTACCTTTCAGTTTGCTATAGGTACATAATGGCAAATAGTTAAATAAGCTAAGGCCAGAACTATACCTCCATTTATATCAGGCTGAGGAGCTTGGAAAAACAAGTTAAAATTGGCTTCCTTTCTTGGAAAAATTTTAATCCATATTCAGAAATAGCTCTTTAGTATAAGAATTTACTTAGCAAATATTGAGTGTATATAGTTAAGAAGATTCAGCTTTTATTTCTTGATAACATTATAAATATGAACTTACATAATCTTTGTGCAATGGGAAGTCCTGATTTGAACCTTCAGGTATTAATACATGACCTATGACGGAGAAGAATTTGGAGTTTGGGGGCTTCTTTGTGATTTTGCAATTATTTGATTTTAGAGTTGGGGTGCTCATTCTTTTCTTACTGTATTCAAGCGTCTAGAACACAGAGCAGAGTCAGGGAACAACCGGATCACTGGAAATCACAACTGTATCTCACCAAAGATGTGCACTGAACAGAATTTTAAAAGAGAAAGCATATAACCTTCCCGAAAATATTAGAAAAGGACAACGCCTCTGGAGTAATCAGAATAAAGACCCTGAAATTATATACATCAAGAAGTAGAAATTCCTTGTTTTGATTTAACTTTGCAGCTGACCACTCTGAGACAGGTGTCAAAACCTGTGATATTTAATTCTGCTTAGTCCACATTCAAAGACTATTTATCCTTTTATCTAGAACTATATCCTCGTATTTTACACATGCATACATTCATAGCCATATGCCAAACTAGATTGTCTCACATTTGTAAAGATTGCTCCTATTAATTCATCCTTCTATAGATTTGGTCAGGGATTAAAAGAAGAATGGGGAGGTACTGAGGTATTAAAGCAAAGACATTTCTCTCAAGTCCGTTATACTTTCTAATCAGAAGTGAGAAGTGTAAAGCATTTTATGAAGTGGTTTTCTCTCTTGAGAAAACAAGCTCTAAGAGGTTTGGATGGATCTGAATGAGCTTTGGATGAATATTCTAGATTTTGGTACTTATCTAAAGAACATACAAGTTACCTGGCTATCAACTACCATTAGTACAGACAAAACCCTGGGTGTGTACCAGGTCAGGCAAACACGAGCACTCTGGAAAGAAATTCTCCTACTCCAATCGATTTTAAAACATCCTTTGTTGCTAAATACCCTTAAAAAAATCTCTGCTCTAAGCAAGAGATTCACAGTGCACATTACAAATATAAAAGACAACCACCAAAGAGAACCCTACCAGCAGTGCACTGTTTATTAAAATTCTGACATTCTGAGGTATCTTCTTGCCAAGGGCCCTCTTACAATGACATCTGTACACTTGTCATTACATTGCAGTTCACATTACTTACATAAACATGCCACAGGGAAACCATGACTGATATAATTTTTATAAGATTGAAAGGTAGCCATAGTGATCATTAAAACAAACCTGAGAGAGCCTTCCTGATGATGGAATAGATTCAGTTACTTCTTCCTTCTCTGTGGGTCGTTAGTTAAAAGGGGCAGGGGGGAGGAGGGAGAGAAGGCCATATACTGCAGGTGTTTTATCCTTTGTAAGGAGACTGCACTGAGACAAATGATTCTAGCTGGCATTTTGTACACACCGGAGATTGCTTATCGATCCAGATCAGAATATTCAGGCTGGCCCCGGGGAAAAGGCAGAGTATTTTCTGAGGGAGTTAATAACCTGGCAGCTGAGCTGTCTTGTCCAATTCACTGAACCTAGGGCTCTAATCAGGCCAGAGTTTCTTATTTTGAGAAATCTTGCCATATGTGTCTGCTAGCTGCCTTCCACTCTATTGGACCAGTGACAGTGATTGAAATGACAGCCTATAGATAGAGCCTAATCAAATTGTTTATTATCAGCCTAAATCAATATGTATAGATTGTTGAAACATCACTGTCATGCCATGGAAAAGTCATACTAACACTACATGCTGCAGATGTAATTCTAGAATGTATTTTTCCAGCCCAAATTACATCTGAATTTAACAGAGTAAAAGAAATTATAATGGCATATGAGACAGTGAAAAATATACATGTTTTACACATTCCAATAAAATAAAATTAAGGATTAATGCTAAAATGTCATTTTGTGCACTGCTTAAATATGTGCTTCCAATATAGAAGAAAAGCAACAAGGTTTTAGGAAGGGAAAACAAGATTCAAAGGAAAAGTATTTTGTCTTGCATGTAGAAAGGGAAAGATCTCACACAGGTTTCTGTAAACACATTCTGCAGGGAGAAACAAACTTCTGTGCACTTAAAGGTGACTTCTG